AGCATCGTCGGGCATCGTCGAGCGCGTGACGCCGCGCTGTCCCGATGATGCGTCGCGACGCCCGCCGGGGTCGTCTCTCGCGCGACGTGGAGCCTCGTGCTCCGGCAGAGAGAGTTCGACGTTCGCGTTACTCGACGACGAGGACACGGCGATGATGTTATATCTGCTATTTTGCGAAATTACGGAGAACGGAACGGCGGCGAGGTCATTGATTTTTTGAGCCCGTCAAGTGTAATCCGCGCACATGCGCAATAATGCCGACAGCGTGACACCGCCGGTCATTCTCTCGGTACTCATCCGGAATGTCCCAGGCTACACGAATATATCCCCGCCGCTGACTTTCGCCGCCGGCAACCGTGATCTCGAGCCGCACGAAATCTGCTAGTTTCCACGACACCCGCACTTCATCTCCGTGATCTCTTTGATCCTCGATGAGTCCGAAAAACTGTTCTCTCGATTAGTGATATTTTTTAATTTATATTTTGTACTCCTTCACTTCAAATATCATACAACCAAACAAATTAATTTTTTTCAATGAAAAGAAAAACTATTTTTTAAGTCGAGGGGAAATTATTATACTAATCACAAATAATAATAATCTCGACAAAGAGATTAGATTTTTAATACGTCATGTTGCCATTTTTGTTTCACAATTTTTGAAAAAGAAATTAAATAATATATAGATATAATTTAATTTCAATTTCAATTTAGAAAAATGAATGGCAAACTGGTAAATATTATGAAAAGTGTTTTTGTAATAAATAAATATAAACGATTTAAAATCGTAACACCAATAGATTCAGAATTGAAGAAAATGTTCGAGATATACCATTTCTAATCTTTCATTTCATAAAATCAAAGACGATGAGAATTGCATTCTACATTTAAATCGAGCGACAAGAAAAAAGCGCGAGATTTACACTTTGAACGAAAAAAATCGTAAAGAGGTCTCAAACGCAACGATATTATCGATTTTACTTATCTGTATAATCGTGTCGATATTATCGCTTCTGTCGTCTCTATGGATGTCAGTTAACCTCATCGAAAAAAAACGTCGAAAAAAGCGCGTCTTATCTTATCGCTTTTTGAGCAGGCAGATTAGAAACACGTCAACGTTTGAAAAATGAATCCACTCGAGACTTGATGCATAATGAGAAGACATGAAATTTCGATCGGGGCTGTTCCCATCTCTCTCTCTCTCTCTCTCTCTCTCTCTCTCTCTCTCTCTCTCTCTCTCTCTTTCTCTCTAGCAACTGAATTACAATTTCCGATAACAGAAAGATTAGCGATCTCCATCGATCCAGCCCGATGCCTATATTCGTCGAGCGCGCCGGAAGCATTAAATTAGTTACTATAATTACGGCAGATACGGCAGAGAAAATTGTAATCGTCGCGGACGATACGAGTTATGGTTATTAGAAACTCGTAAACGTTAGATAGTAATAGCTCAAGCGATCGATATAAGTCTCGAGGAAAGACATACGATAGTTTAAGCAGAATCGTGAATCTTAGTGATTAACGATTCTTGTGAGACGCACTATATATTACGTAAATAATCGTTAAATGATCAACGCTCTAGGCAATCTATATAAAAATTCTATTCCGCGATAAAATGTTTACTCGACCTTACGTCGTTTTACTTTATTTCAAATTGAGTTGTCAGTAAATCGACGGATTTGCGAAAGAGGAAAAAATTATATGTACAATCAAATATCATTTGTGTTTTCTAATAAAATATATTGATTAGATTATACTATGAAGAATATATGCTGCATTGAATAACTGTAAAAAAAATGTCTTTTTCTTTTATTGCTTATAATTTATAATATATGCACATTGAAAGAATCTCTGCATATTGCTTTCTTGCAACATGTAATATTTAATCCTGGAAGAAGATAGGGAAGTCAAATGCAAACTCCAAAATGTAATAAAAGAATATTGGAAAAGAAGAAAGAAAATGAAAAGAAAATAATATATCTTAATATTAAAAATTTTTCCCTACTGTATTGTAGATATGAATTTATTTTTATATAAATATATATAAATCATAAACATTTCGATTTTCGATTTTATAATCCATAAAATATGAATATATTTATATATGAATATATTATAATATTGAATTAAAATTGAAGGTGTTGTGTTCAGATAAAAGAATGTATCATATTGATTAAATATTTATTTCGGTTTTATTTTACTTCTTTCTTTTTACTTCTTATTATTCTAACTATTTATTTAAGTCAAAATTATAATACATTGATAACAAAATTTTATAAATGACATTATTAATAGGTATATTTATTTTATTCTGTCATAACAGTTTTAAATGTATTTCTTGATAATTTCTTCAGAATATTTGTATAAACAAAAATGCTCCAAAATTAATTATTGCT